CGAAAGTTTCACAGATTCTCCAAAGTTCTTAGGCTGTGCGATAAGAACAGTAGCCTCGGTCTTGGGATTTGCTTGTCTCGATGAGCCTTACTCAGGAATTTCCTTTTCGCCAGGTTGACCGTGGCGTGGTTGCTTCACAAGCTACTTTTCCATCCCGAGCCGATCACGTTTCTTAGCTGTTCTGCCTGTCAGACAAAAAAGTGGTGCTTGTTTGGGAAATCCCTCGGAAATGCCATTCCACATGGAGAGACAAATTGAAGTCGTCCGCGACACACGTTTTAACGACTGCGTCATTCGCGGCACAATCTGAAAATTTAACGTGTCGTTCGCATTGTCACAGGCGTAGTTTTGTCCGCTCTTCCACAATGAGTTTTTACTCACAAAGTCCAAAACATTGATATGGTAATCTGTAATAGGGAAATGCTTCACTTTCAAGTAATCCACAGTTTTCAGAGTATTTTTCAAGCAACGGAAGATCTTGGAGGAGATCATACGCCCAATCTTGCATACTGAACACTGCTTTGAAAGTACAAGATGATTGAAGTGTTTCACATTATTAGCAGCAGTGACACAGGACCAACAGTGCGATTTCTTGTCAATGAAGCCTGCAACCTCCCAGTTTCACTTTGGAATTGCTTGATAATCAGCCTCAATACAAATGCAAGTCTGAGATTGCACAAGAATGCCACGAAGCTGGTCGCGGAAGGGAAAAACAAGTTCTATCCTGTGGGGATTCCTACTAACTGCAACCTACAAGAAGGCTGCACCCCGGACGAATGACGTCGGCAGAGCTGTGGAAAGCGGAAGCCGACACAAACATGTGAAGAAGACACAATCGATGAATGCAAATTTGTGGTGTGAGACGCAATTAAATGAGCTAAAAGAAATGTGCTACATCGATCCTCTTTCATACCTAGTCGAGGACAGCCCAAAATGCCAAAACGTGCAGGAAAATGGGTTCTTGAAATGACTGCTTTAAACAACGGCTTGGCCTGAAGTTGGAACAGACTTAACCACACGAGGTTGCAACTGAGACTGCTAGGAACACCTGGCAATTTGACGTAACGGCAACGAAGACCAATCAAAATTCAGCTCGCCTCGGCTTAGTCATTTGATTCCTGTGGTCTAGAAGAGTATTTAGAGTCTTAAAGGTGCAGTTGATGGAGATCACACATGCAGTTTGTCTGCCAATTTTTGCCCTCACCTCCACCTTAAGCTGCATGAGCTCATAAACGTCTGAGAGACGATCCAAATTTGCCAGTAAAAACAGAGGGCGTCAACCAAGAACATTCAGGGATGTAGCTTTAAGTAATTTATAACAAATTGTTCCTTAGAAAGAAATCTTGAATGTAAATGAGTTATCTGCTTTTCTTAGTGCCATCAGATACTTGAAAGTCGGGACTGAAGTGCAAGATATGATGGTGTAATATGTTCAATATCTTTCTTCAGTCCAGTGATGAAGTGGAACCCGTGAAATACTACAGTATTTCAAGGGTCCAAACCACGCTAGAGATTGCAATTCTTTGCTACTGTCTCGACTCTTTGTAACTTCCAACAGGCTTTCTGCCGAAGAAGCTCTCTTTTTCATCATTGAAAGTACAGCTACAGTCTCGGCAGTTGCTCTCAAAAACTCCACCAGAAAACAGTGCAGGTTGAGGAAGTTTTCGGAAAGGTCATATGGGTGTTCAAATTCGATGAGTCGAACTCAATACGAATGTTGGAGAAACTTTCAACGGGCATATTATAGAGTTTCCTCTAAAGCCAATCTCGAATGAGCCATGCCACGTAAATGACACGAAACACAAGGTTAAAAGTTAAGATTCACATATCTCTGATTCTTCAGCACCAGCGTCAGAACAAATGCTCCTCAAAACAACTGACTTTTGCTTCTTAGGTAATGACTTCTTCAACTGATCGATCTGAGCCTCTAAACTCTCCACCTAATACAAGTCACCCACCAAATCAATCCATGAAAGAAGACTGGAACCGGTAAAATAATAGATAAATGAGCAAATAAGAAGAGAAAGAACAAAAACGGGAACACAAAAAGTGCCTTCGATTCTTGACATGGAATGGCAATATACAATGAACAACAAGTCTTGTTGGACATGAATCAGAGACTGCAAACAAAACAGTCGAGGCCTTCAGCCAGGTTGTGTGAAACTTCATCAAGCCCAAGACGAAACATCAACCTCACTTCGTCCACAGCAAGTGCACGTTGTTTTCACATGCTGTCGAGTATTGTGACCACATTCATGAGAACACTGCTAACTAGACCAGGGACTTCGCAATGAAACAGGTTGAAAGGGAGCGAGAAAATATCGCAACTGCAGTTTGTACACAACAATGTGACTGTTTATACTCTGAATTGGATTCTACTGATGTACCCAGTTGCTATAAGTAGCTTCAACGAGGCATTTCTACGAGTCTACTGCTGATAAAACTCCCAATCACCTCATGTAAATGACACCCCATGACACTCTCCGTATGGGCCCCACTCACTGCCCTTAGTCTATATCAAAATCACCCCACAATAAATCGCTTCTCTCATAGTAATTAACTCTCATTACTTCATTCGTTAAGTAAGTATAGAGTATTAGTATAGAGGTTCTTACTTAGTAATATAGACGTGTATGTTATACTAGGCATAGTGGCCATATAGGAGGAGTTGAGTTTTACTTGTCCATTTTGTATCGCTATGTTTTCTGTTTATACATCACTTTGTTTTCCACATCTTTAGTGTTGAATTTAATGTGGTTTATGGCGTCCAGCTCAGTTCTTGTGTTGGTTGATAACAATGTCTATTGGATCTAGGTTAGTGTCTAAACAAGATTTGTGAGCCCTATGATCATATCTAATAGTAAGTGTCTTGGTGAGCTAGCTTTGCTCATAGGATAAAATAGAGAAGAAAGTATGCAATTTAAATTGGAATCCGTCTACTTTGCTCAAGCTCTGCCTCCAATCTTATTCAGTAGCAACATTATTTGTGTATAGATTTTTATTGTGGTGTAGTTGATGATTTATTTATTTATTTATTTTTAATTCTCTTTTATACAAAAAGTTTCCAAAGTTTTAAAGATAATATTTAGAATATTTTTGAATTTGATTTTATACCTTTTTACTTAGAGCATAAACATAGTGTTACAAAACGCTTGGACTAATTGTTATATAAAAATATCAACATGTTAATATTATTTTATAATTAAAACGATTCTTATGAATTAGGGAGTGTTATACTGAAAATTAAGCAGAAGCTTAATGCCATAATAAAAAGAGGTATATATGTATATATATATATATATATATATATAATAAAAGTGATTTAATTAAAAAAATAAAATTATATAAATATTAAAATAATTAACTACATAGGAAAACATGTCCAAAATTCATGTAAAAAATATATACATTTTGTTACATGTATTAAAATGTCATTTGGAACATTTAATAATATAATATATTGTAACCTTATTATTCTTATATATTTATGTTTTAGATCTACCGTGAATCTGTTAAATAAACAATGCTTTAAAGATATTTCTTTATAGATATTTTAATTGAAATATAAATTATTATTATTTTATTTCTTGCAACATTCCAATTAGACTATTATCAAAAAGAATCTATAATCTTCATACTTAATAAATAGTACTTTGATGCATTTAGATCTTTGTATTTTTGTTATAGTTTTTATTAATTATATACATATTATTATAAGCAATCCCTAATTAGTGATTGATATGTTTACTTAAATTATATTGTTTAATTACCAAACAATATGTAGATTTAAATGTTTATACTTAAAATTAAACTATTTTTGTTATAGATTTTAAAAAATTAAAGAGTTTAAAGTGAAATAATATATATATATATATATATATATATATTATAAAGTATTTGAATTGCTTATAAATAATTTGGATGTAGAAGCTAAAATTTTCTATGTTCTTTCTCAAGTAGTTTATAATTAATTAATATATCACTAAACTATCAAAACATATTTTTGTGATATTATTGTGATATATGTATTTTTATTTGTTTTGCTATTCAAACATCTGAGTTATTAATTTATTTTATTGTTGCAAAACTTCTTTCAAAACTTTTTCTACAGCATTGACTTTTTTTGAAACTTCAAAGTTTTAAGCATTTGACTGTCGAATCATATATTGGGAGGAGTCAATAAAATTTTCATAAAATATTGTGGATAAATATTATCATATTTTCCCCAATATACATATTTATAAGAATAAATCATATAATGTGATTTTTAATTTCATTATCAAACTTGGATTTGATTTTTGTAAAATGATAAAATTGTAATGTTTTTTTATACTTCCATAAAATACATATATATATATATATATATATATATATATATATATTTTAATACTGCGATTCCCATGTATCTTTTATCTGATGATTTTTGTCAATTTTTTAAAGACATAAATAATAGATTGTATGATAATTTTAAACCTTATTTCATTTGCCAATATATATTGAATCACCAAAATTAAATCCCCTTGATTTTATGTATTAGAGTAATTTATCATTTAATTATTATTATTTTTTTAAAATCCCAAACTAACCTCATTAAAAAAAATCTATAATAATGTCATCTTCAAGTCCAAATAAACCCACAAGGCCTTTGTGGATGAATTGAGACAAAAATTAAAGATTTAGCAAATCGAAGTGGATGAAAGACGAATGGAGATGAAAAGGTAGGATACTAAGGGCACGGAACGAACAGCACACGGATAAATGAAGACATGGATGAACAGATGACAGAGGGGAGATGAGAAAAGGTGACGCGGGCGATGCGGTGCCAACAAGGCAGCCACCCTAGAAACTGGTCACGGATGGCGAGATGGTCGAACGGCGAAGAATGTGTTATAACAGTAATAATAATAATAATAATAATATATTCGTATTTGATAATTGGATTTTTGTAATTTTTTTTGTTTTATGGATTTTACTGGTGTTTAGTTTATTGGTGTTTGGTTTCGTTTTGTATAGTTTTGCTGTTCCCACCGAGTGCCCCTCAGGTTGGTGCCCATCGCAACCTCCTCCTTTTCGCCCTTTCTTTCTGTCAATTCTTCGCTCTCTCGCTCGCTTGGTCGCTCGGTTGCTCGCTTGTTGTGAGTCTGTGTTGGTGTGTTAGTGCACTTGTGGTTGCGAGGGGCCGTGGGATTTGAGCCACCGAGAGGGCAAAGCTTATGGCCTTCAGTGAGTTGTAGTCGATTCCGCCGTGCTGTAACTTCCCGCCCATGGAGGCTCTTCAATCCGTGGCCACGGCGGGGGAGTCGCTAGGCTCTCCCCCGCTCCCGCCCGATACCTCCGCGTGGCCCGAATTGGTGGAGGAGCAGGTGTTTTTTGTGAAGAAAGTGTTGCCGACCTGGGGTATGCAGGAGGTTGAAATGGCGAATGGGATAGGGGATGCGGAGGGGATGGAGATGGAGATGGATATGAAGCAGGGCGAGGGGATGGAGTCGGCAGTGGCGTGCGAGGCGGTGGAGTTCGAAGACCTGTTTGCGAATCCGATTGAGCAGGGTTCCAATCTGGAATTTAGGGTTTCTAGGGTTTCTGTAGGGGGGAGCGAGGTGATGGACCTGGGCGGGGTGGTGTGTGAAGGTGGAGAGGGGGAGATTGGGATTGGGAATGAGGTTTCTGAGGTGTATGCGGTGGAATGTGGAGAGAATCTGGTGAAGGAAGAATTGAGTGAGATAGAGGTGAAGGTTGAACCGCCTGCGATCGATGTCAAGGAGGTGAAAAACGAGATAGGATCTTCCGAGGGTGCAAGCGAGGAGATTAAGTTAGAGGAGGAAATCGACTCTTCGGTGATAATGAACCGTCTGGAATTGCAGACTAAGTTGGTGAACTCTCACGTTGAAGAACTGAAACGTATTGCGATACTTCAGTACCGTCTCACCGGGATTAATCCCTTGGCTCAAGAGCTGGTGCGAATATTTTCCTCGGCCCTCTTCCTGTTAATCCTTTGCCCAGCTGTTACCCTTGCCGAGACCTAAGTTCGTTCTCATTATGGCGAGCATCATTCTCTAGTTCATGCAGCAGGGTAGTTTGTGTGTGAAACCTAACGGACGCTTTCGGGTGTGATAAGACGGTTATTGACTAATTGTCGCTCATAGTGCCCCACATATCGTGACAATTTGGATGCATGCGTGAAGTGTTATTGAAACTCTCTATCTACATTACTACTCTTGTTTTTTTTCTATACGTAAATTTAACGTGAGCAATCGGTTAGAGGACAAGCACTACATTGAACCTTTTCGTGTACAGATGACGGCTTACGTAGTATACGACGAAACTTCGGATAGGTTGTTCTTGTATTGAGTGATTGGTAAAACCCCCAACACTTGTATTAAAGCTTTGGGTCGTATTCTGTAGGTCAGGGAGTATATGGTAGGTCTTTTCTCAATTCCTTACGACTTCCAACAATGTTGGAAACGGAGTGTGTGTTGCGTCAAACCTGAAAAACGCATGTCTGCTTGCAGTATCTCTTAATTCTGTGAAGTTTTTTTTTTGTGTTGCCACTCGCTGTCGTCTGCATTGTCTCGTTATTCTCACAGATTTTTAGCGCTACGTAGCGTACAAACAAACAATCTCTAAACTACTTATCATTTGTTCTGCAGGCCTCTACAGTTCTTGGAACCGAAGAGGGTATGTTTTTCTGACTTCCTTGGTTATATCTGTCAACATTTAGGTAGGAGGTAGAGGTAGAGGCAGTGCGGTTGTGAATATCAGTGACAGTTTCAGTGGCAATATCATATGATATAGTCGCGTTTATCGTCTTTGTCCTTGTAGACGAACTCGTTATTGATCTATCAGCTTTTATCAGCTTATTAGCCTGGCTAAGTAAGCGTCTATCATTTTCCCAGGTTGGAGAACTGGACTTGGACTCTCATCAGAGACTTTAAGATACTTGCATGCCGTTTTTGCTGTCAAAGACACTCTTACGAAAAAAGAGGCCTGTGATGTCGGTATCGTTTCCGGTGCTACACTATCTCAGGTGACCTCAAACCTCGCTGTTTCTGTGGACCGTTCCTTTCCCGCTTTAGTTTCTATGTATAGATCGTTATGAATTATGAAGTTGTTTTGTATCAGTCTCTAATGCTCTGATTTTGGTCATTAGTCCGAGAAAATTATTTGAGTAAGACTATAGTGAAGGTGATACTAGTCGCAAATATTTGTGTCTGTAATCATCATCACGGGGGGGGGGGGGGTATTGGCCGCAATCAACAACGGTGCCTTCTGCATTTGCAAATGTGGATTTGTCTACGTACCATGTGCATCAAAACATATTGCGTTGGAGGAACTGATCACTATACTAAAAGCGTCTTTAAGTTAATCGGCCTTCCATATTTTCTCTGTGAGTATTGATTATAAATGGGATTTTTTGTATTTCTTTAGGTTCGAGAGTTTTTTTCTACACAAAGGTCACGGGTGCGAGCTTTAGTTCAACAATATACTGATGAGGCGGAAGCTCGCTCAGTGGAAATTGGAGAGGAACGATCAAATCATACTCCTGATTTTCCTATTGAAAATGATATTGGTTTTACAAATTTGACTGATCTGGATTCTGTAGAATTATTGTTGGTAACTATGCGACAAGAAAAGCGCTTTTCACAACAAGAACAGCTTCTTCTGATCATTTTACGAACAGAACCAGGGCTTATTCTTAGAAGGTATGTTTTGATCTTGTAAGACTACTTCCATTGTGTTGCATTTTATATTTTTGTGGTATTTTTTTTCCTAATTTCATTCTCTATAGAACTCTTTTCGAGATCTATGTTTATTGTAATATTGGAGGATCAAGAATGGGACTTGACAGTGCGACTCTATGTTCTCATGCTTCGCTACGAATTCAACATGCATAGTAGAATTTATCTTAAATTACATTCGTTGATTTGTTGCATTTATGCAACATTCATCGGCAGATTCTTGGAAAAAGGGGGACTTAAGGTTCTTTGTGCGTGGTTGATCAATGCTGCCGCCGGTGAACAGACCAGTGTGCTGCGACAATTGCTAAATGTACTGGTCAAGACCTATGGCTCTATTTTGATGTGGTCAGTTGGATATATATTTTTATGTAGTGTGACTGAAGTGTGTTTGAAAGGTTAACGATGAATGAACCGAATTTTAATTTTCAATTTTGATTTGCTAGTGATTTTGGTAGTTTGTCCTCACACCATTATTGTGTTTGAGAGTTATGATGATTCTGCATTGTTCATACTCTTAGTTAGTTCTTGAGTTTATTATCAAAGTTTAAGATTGTACGACGATTTTACAGGTTTTATCTCATCTACCCATGAGCTGTGCTATCCCACTCCAAGTGTCTGCATTGTTACAGCCTGTCAACAAACTCCGTTTCTATTTTGTACAAGGCAAGTGGTTTGTTTGTGGAATGCCTTCCAAGATTTGTTAGTGCTCACGCATCATGACCAATAAGTTCTGGAGTCTCAAATTATTATTATTATTATTATTATTATTATTTGTGTTTTCTTCCTCTATGCTATGTATGCTAGGTCCACTCGTACAGATCTTTTACGTGTTCACAAAATTCTGAGTGTGTCGATCTGAAATTGCTTTTGGTATCAGATGTTGCAAATCATGCTCGCATCCTCATGTCAAAATGGAGCAAGCTCTTTATGAATAAGGTCGAGAATGGGCTAGCGGACTCTGCAGGGCTGGGATCCACCGAGAGAGGTACTTAATTGTCATTTTGTTTGAAATTTCCCTAAACCACGCCGCTTTGTATATTGTGCTATGTCTCATCTCTCTTTTGTGATACCAGAAAAAGCGGATGCGCTGCGGAGAGTGAAGAAAAGAGTCAGGTATATGAAGTACCGAAGGCTTTGAAATTGTATTTATTTGGTTGTGTTAATGTTGTCAAGTTGAATCTTGTGACAATGTTCGTTGTAAATGTATATTTTCCTTTTTGTGCCCATGTTTTGCAATGTGCTGCATTATTCTAGTATCCTATTCGTCGGTTATTGAACAAGTGTATTTTATATTCTATTTGCTTGCAGAGATGCTGGAGCGACTATGAAATCGGTTGAAGGAGGTGCTGGGAAGAACAATGCAGGTTTGCACCGTTACTTATGGTTGACCATTTTGATTCCTATTAGTGTTTGATTGACTAGTTGAAGTTGCGACGCCAGTACTTGGAAGACCTATTTTTAAAGCCTGTAACAATTTATCTTCTTTATTACAGCGGAGTTGGTGAAGAGTCAGTTGGATCTGGCACAAGTTTCAGTAAAAGCACATTCATCAGGGGAAGGGAAGTTCTCATCTGGACTGACTCATGGTGCCGCAAGGTCAGCAGGCGGAAAGATTTTGAATTCAAAGCTTAATATGAAGCCAAAGAATGTGGTTAAAGAAGTACTGAATTACAATACCTCAATGATGAAAGCATTATCAGGAATGCAAAGCAATATTAAGAAAAGTGTGCCACGCAAGGAAACCCTGCAGCCCCAAAATGCAATGAAACCATGCGTTTCGAACACCTCAGTTGCGGATGAGATTGCTGTAAATCAAGCTCCTGGTGTGAGTTATCAGGCCCTTTTTTGTTTATTTCTCTCGCCTTTCAATTTTCTGATTGAGACCCATAATGGTTCTCATCATGTCTAGTAAAGTTAGCAATCCAGGAGAACACTTTCTGTGCTTGAAAATGTCCATGAAGAATTGTAGAGTTCAAGTTATGAAAATTAGAGCATTTTTTTCTAATGAATTTATTTTGAGGGAGATTACGAGGTCTTTAGCCTTTGGAATGTAATATCGTCTCTCGGAGGGTCAGCAATGAATTTTCAGGAGTGCCTTTACCCGTAGTTGTAAGATGGATATCAGTTCTCAGTATTTAATGCTTCATTGATTATGTCGTAATGGACAGGTTTTAGACTACTAAAATTACGAAGATGATATTATTCTAGATACGTCTTTATGTTCTACATGATGATTTAACGGTTAAGATACTTGTTTGAACATCTGGTACTGGTTACCATTTTAATTTCCTATCGTCGTCTGTAGGGCGAAGCACAGATTCCTATATCTGGTTCTTCTTCCAGCTCCCAGTCCAACTCCTCGCAGGTCACGAAGGCCAGGTACTTGTTCTTTCTTGTTTCGTGTTCGTCTCTTTCAAGTATCCTGTAAGTTGTCCGTTGCAGGTTGTTGGCGAGTATCTAAAGTTTGTGCTAGAAATGGCCAATGCCTCAATACATACAAACGATTCTTTTGTTTTCTTTTTTTCTCAACGCCTTGGTCAATGATGTATTTCCACCCATTCTGTAATGGATATTGCAAAGTTGAAAGTGCGTACCAGCACCTGGAGTTTCACGTTTTTCTTTGACTTAGTCATGATCAATCGCTCTACAGAGTAACATCCATGACTGATGAAGACCCCAAGACCGCTGCCAAAGCGGCAATTGTGACAAGCAATGTAAGAGGCTTCAGTAACATCCCAGTCTCTGAAACTGCGAACATTGCAACACCAGTGTCGAGGAGACGTCCTCTAGCTGATCGTATCCATCTATGTTTCCTCCATATTTTTCGTTGAGCATGACAGTTGTATTCTTTAATCTTTTACCACAATGCCCGGAATACGTTCTTAATTTACTTTTTATTAAGTCATTTTTGAATCAGATGTTTTGATATCTTAGTTATGAGGCTATTATATGCGGCTACCATCGTTTACCGGTTTCGAGTTTCTTGCTTTCATGTTTGTTGGTCTTCATCAGTACGTACAAGAAATGTCTTACCTTAACTAGCTTCATCAGAGCAAAAAGAGAGGCGAAAGGTTCTACCTGTAGATGATTCTGGAAATGGAAATCGTTGGAGGGAGTCTACTACAAGACGTCCTGTTATAGAAGTAGGCAAAACTTCTCGCCCTCTTTCTGCCGATGAGATTCGTAAAGCCAAATTGCGTGCCCGTATAATGCAACAACCATCATCTGGTTTTAGTGGGAACAAGCAGCTAAACGCTCCAGATCAAATTGGCAGTCGAGGCAAACCCAAACCTGTCGGTGATGGCTGGTCGCTAGACAGATACGCCAGTATGCAAGTTATGGATGGAAGTGGTAAATCTTCACAGATTTGTAGTGGAGTGTCGCTGGTGCGACCAACGTCATTTAATGCTGACACTGCCTCTGCTCCCAGACTTATTCTGGATGATAAGACCTTCGATGAGCTTTTGACTGAACAAGCTCGTGAAAATGATGCTCGTAAGCTTGAACATACCAGCTGTACACAGAAAAAACGAAACCATGTGGACAGTCTTGAGGAAGGAATTGAAGTTACTGGTAATTATCAGGAGATCAATCTTCCAGAGGGCGGCTCTGACCCGTGTGTGTGCACATATTCTGAGATGGCTAACAAGGTTGACTCAGGAGATCAACCTACGTCTATTACCGTGGATAGAGAACCTCGGTCTCCTTCAATCGTTGATGCTCTACGTGGAGATTCAGTGGACCTAGTATCTGATGTAGTCGAAGATTTTGATGTCAGAAGTGATTCGGTCAAGACATCACCAGAGGATCTCACTACAGATGTTGCAGCAGAGGGTTTGTTGGAGGCTACTCCAATGGAAACTAATCTTCGTCCAGCTTCAGCTTCTGAAGTTGTGAATGCCAAAAGCGTTGAACCACGTGTCCTTCCTTGGGTTGTCCCACCAGGTTTGTGTTTTGCAGTAGTTAAATTGAAGCATTTCAATCATTCGACCTTAAATTGGTAACTACATCTGCATGGATCTATATATGCCAATTTAAACTTAAGATTTTTGCAATTTTGTAGAAGCTGCAGATGGACGTGGTCGAGGCCTATGATGATTTATGCATGTGTTGAAGGCCTTCACGTAATGGTAGACATGAAATAAAGGATTTGGTTTGTGTGCAGTTTTGAACTTGAATCCCACATGGGGCGTTGTGGCTGGAGATACTAGTAAAGAGCAAGGGGTCCAGGCTGCGCGTGTGAAACGAGAAGAAGAAGTGGTCTATTCCGATTTGCTTTTTGTACCTGACAATCCTAGAGATCTTTGGGATGAAGAACCAGTTTATGACGACACTTTGACACCAGAAATACCAGTCGAGGTTTCGGAGATCTCCTCGAGTAAACCAAGTTCTCCGAATAATGCTGTTGCTGTTAAAGATGCAGGCTCTAATCCCTTGACAGATGGCACTGCATCTGCTGGTGAAATTTCTGGTGGTCCGTCCATAGCAAATACAAATACGTTCGCTGCAGCACAGCAGCTCGGGGATGCAGCTTCCGGTCATGATCCCAATTTACTTGCGCTGCTTCTAAGCAACCCAGCCCTGGTTTCACAGCTAGCCTTACAGCAGAAAGAAGGGGGCAGTTTGGCTGGTCTCAGTGCCTTACTGGGGCTGGGAAAAATGGAAGACCTAGCTCGCTCGGCAGATCCTACTCATGCGGGTGGAGTTTTGAGTCACCCAACGAATATCAGCAATGTAAGTCTGGTGTTGCAGTTACCTGGCACGGAATAGGTTGTGGGCTGCTTGTTTTACATCTATACCCTGCATCGATTTCTGCTTTGCTAGTAGGGAAGGAGTCTACAACACACTTAACTTTGTTGGGGCTGGAGCTGAGTTCTGAAGTCTTGTCTTCATTTGGAGTTTTTGGAAGTGTGGCTCTGTTACGATTGATGTCGGCTTGTCTAAGCATTTTTTATTTTATTTAACCTGACTCTAGTGGATTTGTTATAATTGTACATGATTCATACTCGAGTCTCCTGACGCTTATGTGAAGCTAATAGAGGATTAGTAAGTAAACTGAGTGCTGTACTCTTGACAGGTTTGAATTAATGATTGCTGGAGTTCTTAGCTAAATATTCAAGTTAACTAACCTTTTGGAGTCTCTAGTAGGAATGATTTCTTCTCCTTATCTGCCTTCAAGTTTTGGACTACGGTGCAATGTGGTTAATTATTAGCTATTTAGAGTTCTATATTTTCTTATCACGATATGCAAATGATTTCGAGTTTTCTTTTCCATTTTTTTTTCGTGACTTTCATGACTGCCATGCGTTTTTCTTTTGGCACTTTTTAAGCCCAGCAAAATGTATCCAAAATACGTAGATTGTCATCACCTTCGTATTGGTGTCTTTAACTATCGACATACATTCCATTTGCCTAAGTTGCCCAGACCTCTCCTGTGTCATGTTTAAGTTGGATTAAATGGTGATTTGGTGAGGTTGTAAATCAAAGAACGACTTTCCTGGGAGGACTTGTTTTTTTCTCCTTTATTTCTGCTTTTTTATTTATTTATGTTTGTTTATTATTTTGTAAGCCGTATGCAGGACTCGGTGACGGTTGACTGCGCAAAGAACACGTGGCTCACCTAAGAGAGTTGGTGGTTTGCATGTGTTTATTTGCAGTTATTAGGTGTGCCTCAGCTTCAAGACCAGGTTCCTGCAATGACCGATTTTAAAGGTTGCCAGCCGCTGTCAACGTCTGGTGTTGTTTCTTTTCCCGAGACCAACTCAGAGCCTGTGAGAACCGCAGAGGATAAGCTTGGAGCAGTGGTTACAGTCCCCAATTGGGAAGTGCCTTCCTGGGCCCAGCCCTCTCCACCTCCTGCGCCTATGATTGGATTGATTCCACATTCTCAAGGAAGCAGCAACGTGCCTCTGCCTCATATCGGTAGTGTGCCGCAGGATTTCTCATCTCTGGGACCTCCGTCAGCATCGACAGCTTATAATGGTAGCTTTCAAAAGTTGCCAAATGTTCCTTATACATGGGCCCCGTCAAACACTCAAGTTATGCACACTACTGCTAATCAGTTTGATTCTTCTGTAGGGAGAGGGAGAGTGCCAGTTCTGAGTCATATTGTGAATGGAGCCTCTGGGATGCCTAATGTTGTTAATGACGCAACCGTGTCATCCGGTGTGCAACCTCCTGTCTTCGGCCAGGTTGCACAATTTAACTCCGTGGGCTGGCCTCCTCATGGAAGCCGTCCTTCCACCGTTGTCCATCGTAATGTGTCATCCCATCCCGTAAACTCATCCATTCGAGGAAATGTAAGTAGCTGGACTCCTCATTCAAGTACCACTCACGGCTACCCTGATGTACACCGGCGACTACCGGAGCCTCCTCCTCTGTGGGGCAGGAATCCAATGCCTGCCACTCAATCCGTCCCCGCTCCTCCTCCACCTTATTCCTCTCACCCCAGTAGTAATCAGTACTGGCAACAGCAAGACCCATCCTTTAGACCCCCTCCTTCCTCGCACCCTGCTCACTACACTAGACCGCACCATCCGCCTGCTTGGCACCAAAATGGTTCCAATTATGGTCCCAACCGGTGAAAGATCTATTATTTTTGGTAGTGTGCCCACTCTTCCTGTATCTTTGTGAAGCCTCCCATCACGTTTTGTAGAGCACGTAGACCTTTTTTCCCACCTATTAGCAAATTCTCTCTCTCTCTCTCCCACTCTCTCGTGAGTGCTAATGAGGCTCTGATTGAAGGCAAGGATAGTGTTTTCTTCTTTTTTACCATTTTAAGGACCAGAGTATTCTCGCCCCCTTTTGTACATTGAGCACATTTAGATTTTAACTAAGACCCGGACGGACCAAATTGCCCAATTCTGAAGTCTCCTCATGGAGTTGAGTCCACTTTTCTGCTCCTGATGCTGTGTCCCATAAACTGTTGCTTGTCTTCGTACCCGGAAGTGCCATGCTTAGATTGAATCTGTATTCTGTTTCTGGGGTTCTTATCCAGTTCCATGGACTTCCCGACTCTTTCGAGGTTTTGATTCAGATACTTTCACTCGGTGGCAGGATTCTACAGAATCGATGCCACTTCTTCTCAGTGTGATCCTGGAACTTGCCAGCTTTGTCTCTTGCTCAGTAAACCAGACAGCTCCGGTTGATTTGGATTGAAATCGTATCTAGAATTCTCGGTTCATCCTAAATTTACGGTCGCTACTGTTAGAAATGATTCCCTTAGTAATCCTGTTTTTGGCATAGTAGTGTTTTCAATATCCACTTTAATTACACATCCTTGTACTGCTTTGATCATTGATGGCGAATAATCTTTGCATCCAGACAGTTGAATCCCAAATTTTAAATTTAAATTTAAATTAGGTATAATCATCAATCAGTCACACGTGATGTACATTAACGAATTGGGTCTCTAATTTATTAAATCACATGAAGTTTATAGCCTCTCGTTAATTGAGCTCAATTGGTGACTAATTGTGAGAAACCACACACACGACTATTTTAAACCAGAGATTGATAATGGTCATCACCTTTCTGTCTTATTGAAATGAACCATTTTACTATAAAATCGCACTGAATGAAAACTCTACCAAGTTTGAAAGCAAGTGCATGGCAACTTCATATATTTTGGCCCAAGCCTGTCCACATTCTTTAGTGCTAATGGCCCATCTCCAGTACTTTTTTATTGTACTTGCCAGGAATTTTTTCTCACCAATAATGACGCAATGGTATGTCTGCTCTTCTGCTGACAAACTCATTCCTGTCGTTCTCTCTTTCTCTTTCTCTTTCTTTCCTTCTTTCCTTCCTTTAAAAAATGACATAATTGAAAATTAATAATTAAAGTAACTAAAAATAATGTTAGATGGAATAACAATACATAATTAAAAGTAAAGACCATAACATGTGGGAAAAAAGAAACCAAGAAGTTAATTTGGACATGACCAGTAAAATGCCAAGTTGATCGTTACATCTAATTAATATATTAACAGTCATGGTTAGATTTCATTTTTATTCCTTTCACTGATTTTTTCTTTTTCCTTTACTTTGTAAAACACCAAGCTGTATTCTCTTTCCATATCTATGAATACATACTATATATACAAATGATGCATACTCCAATAAAGTGCACTTATGTTTATCACTCTTTTCCATCACTTTATGATCTTGTAGTTGTGTGTTGAAGTTTAGGATAAGGGTTGGTTGCAAAAACAAGGAATATGTGGCTAAAGCTAAGTCATGAGTACACTATCCCAAAGGAACCCATGCACATGTGAAAGTATGGCAAGGAGCCTCTAGTCACTCAAATCCTCAAAACTTCAATTCTACCATTTCTTCAAGAACCAAGAATAAGAATATGTTGCCAATCCTTCATGCCAATTTTTTTTTTCAAAAAATATATATATGTGAATGTATGTATGTATGTAAATTTTTTGATAAAAAACCTCGCTGGCCTATTCCAGTCAAGCTTTCCATCATCCAATGGGTTCACATAGAATACTCTCATTCCACACAGTACATCATTCCACTAGTGCTTTACATCTATGTTGGCTATATGTTCTCTTTTGCCATTGAATGCAAAAGATGCTCATGCATTATTTGAATCCTTAAAAACAAATTTCAACATTGAATCTTGATGCAGAACAATAAATAAACAATAGAATATGTTATGAATAACAAAAATATGAAGAAGAAAGAAATATGTACATTCATTCCATTGATGAATTATGGTCCTTAAGTACAAAAAACCAAAATGTGTCTCATTTGTTGTTTCAAAACACATTGCAAGTATTTTTAAAATGCATGTAAAACATACTACTTTTTTATTATTGAACCATGAAATCACAAGAATACTTCAATGAATTCAAAAAACGTTCTTATACAATTTTCAAACACCCAATGATTGGTTTAATTATTTTATCATTTGGTAAACACAAATGTGCTCTAAACACAGTCTATCTAACAGTCTTGTCTAACTTTTCAATTGATTAGTAAGCATGTGTGTATGTGTATATACACACACATCAATTACTATCCAAAATATATTTTAAAGAACTACTCTAAAACTTTATGAATAGCCTACACAACATACCAGACTTGTTCAAAAAACCTAAAGAAGATCAATCCATTGAAAATCAGTATATGGTACTTAGAAGAACTTTATACATTAATTGAGTGATCTTAAGTAAGATTTTACACAAAAACTTGACTTTATCTTTTAGTTTTAATTTCATTCTCTTTCATCAGATTGCTTATACTCAATACAACAATCAATATTAGTTTAATAAATCATATGATTACATAAAATACTTAAGAATTTATTGTGTGCACAAAAAAAATCTATGGATTTTGTAAGAAGAACAAAGAATCTTAGTCCTTGCTCTCTTTGTTCCTAGACTCAAGAACATGAATTTCAAAGAAAGAAATCTTCAATATACTCTTTTGTCATTCAAAAGAACTAGAAAATGACTCAAAGATGATACAATATTAAATTAGAATGGCTATTGCCAAAGACAAGAAGACTAGAAAGTCTTGAAACAAGACTAAAAACTAGAAAGGTGTTGACAAGAGTGAAGAAGGCTTCACTCTTCCCTCCATATGTATTATCTAACTAAGAGCTATGTAGCAATGTTCTATACAACCTCCAAAACATGTTGACTTTGCAAGATATATATCTTAACTTGCAAGGCAAGTTTTTTGTACGTGTGCCACATAGTTAGCTTGTTTTGCAAGCTACCAATACATGTGGCACATGGTTAATTTATTGATCAAGTTTATAATCTATTAATCAACTACAAACATATTTAAAGTCAAAGCAACATCCGTAAAGCTTCTAAGAAGCTTCTCTAGAAGATATTATGAAATAAATCTATTTTTATCTACTTCTACTTAATCATATAGATAAATATTAGAATAAATATATATGTCAATGATACCTAGTCTTTATCTTGATGCTTTTATTTCAAGCCCTTATTTCCTCTATTCCTAGCATCCACTCTTAATTTCTTTTATATTTTTCAACTCTTATTTCAACTCCGTCCTTTTATAAATAATAAGTATACAAAATGTTCTTTTTTGTACAACTAAAAACTATGATAAATTAATTTTTGAATCCTACAAGCTATCTAAAATTAGCCAAAATCTTTAAATATAACTTAAATCTTTGAACATAATTTATTTTATATTTTTCATATAAAACATGATTTGGTTATTATGATTACATTATAAAGGTCCAAATCTTGGTATGACTTACCTCCTCTTAAAGAAAAAAAAAATTGATAAACATTTGATCCTTAATAATGGTTTACATTTATAGATAGACAAACTTATCTTGTAAAAAACTTTGCTTACAGTAGTAACAAGGCTAAATTTCTATCAAAGTCAACAAAGCTTAAGAGCTAAGCACTTTGGGTATTAAACCTCAACAATTAACTTTGTCATGGTAAAACACAAATTAAAGTTCACTACTGCAATTTTTAATAATAAAGCATAATACAATCTACTTGCAATTTTCTTAATGAAATGCATTAGGTCACACCAGAGTTATAACTTTGAAGCTTTACAAAGATTAATCAAGTTTTGTAGAACACCAAAATATTTTGTCATTATTTTCTACAGTTAGGTTCTCTAAATACTTCCTGATATTGCACCTAGTTGAAGGTCATATCTTCCAAATCACAAGATAGTTTCATTCATCACATTCAACTTAGAATATTTCAAGCTGCAAAATTTTCAAGCATACAATGAAAGTGCCTGAAACAAGTATTGTGAATATTATCTGTGAAAATAAGTGCATAAACTTTTTTAGCAGCAACTTATACTACAACAATCCTATCAACTTCAAATGCTTCTCTTCTTGCTATAAAGGTTCCAAATGGAGAAAGTGGAGATTAAGAACAAAGAGAATCAAGATGAAAGTGATTCTAATGATGGTCATGATAGAGTGGATCAATTTACTAAAAAAATGGGCCATTTTAATATATATATATATATATATATATGCATGAATACACATACATATTCTTAAATGATATTTGTATTTTTACATGATTTTTTAATAATTAGATTATACCTTTGTTAAAAACTTGTATACTATTTAATAGATAAAAAATTAAAATCATACTTTAAACTTTGTATTTTATAATAATTTTATTATTGATATATTTTGTAAAATCTTTTGTTAGAATTCTAATTTCATGTAATCTTTTAGATAGAAATATATATATATATAAAGAAAAATGATAAAGTGACCAAATTTTTTACTAAAGCGATTCACTCTATCTTAAGTATCATTGCACCTTTGGAGCCCCCATCCATGTTCCGAGCCATTTTCCATTCCCAACTATTGCTAGGAATGAGGGTGGAAGATTGAGAATGCTGGTAAGAAGGACAAATATTGAAAATAAAGGAACGATTGGGAGCAAGAGAATGGCTAGGAATGGAGCATGTGGATGGATTTAATAAAAAAAAATTTGGTTATTTTATCATTTTCTTATAAAAATGAATAATTATTTAACGTAACTAATTTTATTAGTTTTTATTATATTTCATTGAAATATAAAACTTAATTAAAAAATATTGCTATCCATCAATTGCCATTAACATCTATATCAATGAAGTAATCTTTTTAAATGAATAGAAATAGATAGAATTATAAATAAGTTAATTTAAAATATTATATAATATTATATAAATATTTTAAATTTAAACTTCATCTACATGTATTTTATTATGGTCCATGTAATTATAAAAATATTATTAATAATAATCTTAAATAGTCTTAGAACAAGCATTTTTCAATTCAAATAATTGCTCTATAAACATCATTATCCTTAGAAAGCATCTACATAGTTAATTTATTAGCTCATATATAAAGAAGCAAAACTAATACAATCTCTATTAATTTCAATGTTTCTTTTATAATCAAATCTTAGTGTATGAATTTCTCAATTCTTTGTCTTTGATGTTAGCAGTTTTAATTATTTGATATATGTATTATTTTAATTATTTTTCTTTTCTAATCTTTTAATATATTAAAATGTCTAATATTAAGTAAAATATAGACAGGAATACAAAAAAAAATCTTTAAAATATATATATATATATATATATATATATATAATACGAGAGGAAATAAATAACCTCTATATTAATAACACCTATCAACTTCAAAGAAATTTTAGATAATATTGTATTTGGTTTTGGTTCCTTACCAGTATCAAAGATTCTAAGGACAATCTTTCAAAGTTGAAATGTTCAAATCTATCTTATTCTTTTTTTCTAGTAGGAAATTAAATGGGTTTTTTATTTTCTTTTGTATTGCTTTTCTAAATCAGTTTTTTATTCTTGGAAATCCTTTCAAATTTTTACTTATAATATTCTATTAAAAATAAATCATGTACATTTTAAAAATCCTTTTTGTTTTAATTCTAATTATATGTGCATGCAAAGGAGTATTTTTCTTGAGTTCACATAAGATGTTCCCAAAACCACGCAGTAACAACTAAATTTACACAGAATATACAAGTCACATAGCACAACTCTCCTTCTCATGTCTTTTGTCATCTTTTCTTCTTCATATTTATTTTTATCTCTATTTCTATTTGTTTACTTGTACCTATGTTGTGTGTGTGTGTGTGTGTGTGCGTTTTTTTTAGGTCAACATAAATAAAACCCCCTCACCTTTTACAAATTCTATGCTTTCTAGAGTTTGGTTTGGCATGGTTTTTTAACACGAAATAAACAAAATAAAATAAAATAATGTAAATATATATATATATAGTCGTGGAAAATCTATGCACATAATCCTAAAAAGATAAAACACATCAAAAATTTACTAAAATAAAATAAAATAAAAATTAAAAAGAGGTCATCACCCATGTTACGAAGCGTACCCTTGGCCTGGCACGGCCTGACGTGCCCAGCCAGGGCCGGGCCGGGCGGCCTCTAGCCGTGTGGGACTCTCTCACCCGCGTACCCTTCCCCGACCCGGCCCAGCCCAACGCACCCCTTCGTCCCTCCCTGGTTGTCTTGTAAAAGCATTGCCATAGAGCACGAAACCATGGCCATGGTCTTGGGTGAGTTCAAATTTTCCAACTGGCAGGTCGTGCACGGATCTCATGTCGGAGGTGAGCGCTTGCCGTGGCGCACAGAAGCTCCAGCTTTGATGTACAATCCTTCCTCCCCTGCTACAGAGTTAGCTTCAGTGTGTTTAGGACCGTGGAGGGGTGAAACGAGGCCCCCAGTTGTCGTGTTCTGGGCACCAGTTTCCCCACATTGTCGCTGCCAACAGGGATCAAGTGCGAGGAGGAGTCACGACACGGCGTTGGTCAGTCAGCCGACGGAACTCGGAGGGACGTTCGTTCTCATCTGACATCATCGATCGTCGTGCCTGCGACTCGAGATCCCCCCCCCGGCGCTTTTTCGTGTGGTTGGGAACGCACGACAGTAAGTGATCTTCGTTGGTCCTTTGCGTTTCTGGCTGTTAAGGGCGGCATTTGATGAGGCGGACGCCGGGTTCGACAGGGCGTTGGCGGTGGAACCGATTCTCGATCCGAACGGACGCCTACTTGCTACCGTCGCACGGTTGTTTATCGTGTTATGAGAAGAGAGGTATCGGATGTTTTGTTTGGAATGAACTCCATATGCTCTGAGAATTTCCGTCCACAGGGAGTCTTTCCTGTGAGGATTGCATGTTTGTGATTAGTGTTTAGTCTCGTGTAAGTCAATCGTGAAACAGTTCTCTACTCCACAACTTTCGAACGATGTCGGAACGGGATCATCAATACTGAGCACACGATTGGGATTAAATATATGCGACGCATGGAGTTAACCGACTCCAGACAAACATTCCGACACGCCGATGCTGCGAATGCTCAAAGACGGCCGTCGGTCCAATGCCCATGATCCATCTTCCCACCACTCTTGATTGGTGGAGAAGAAAGGTGCTTCGAAAGCAGAGTTGTTGAGAAATTATCTTGTGGAAAAATCGTACACTTGATACACGTAAAACCTTAACAGTCAGTAGATGCAGATTCAAAACCAACTGAAAGAAGGGTGTGGGTGAGGAAACCACATGCCAACAGATGCTGACAGGTTGTCAGGATACTTCCAATGAAACAATCAGAAGAACTGGTTTCGGTTTTTAATGGCATTGAGAAAGTGTTACCATAAACGTAAGTCTACATGCAGCAACGTTCAGTGACATATCTTGACAGATATGATAAGGTATCCCTCGTTAAAAAACTAAGAAGAAACACCACCAAGGCAGCCTTATTCGAAGGAAAAAAAAAAGAAAAAAAAAAGAAAAAAAAGAAAAAAAAAAAAGAAGAAAGAAAATCGATCCTTTCATACACCTCTCCGGAGGAACTCTGGAGAAAATAGACCCCCCTACCGTGACATAACCAAAATTTCACCAAATTGATTCCTCGAGATGAACACCAGCCAAGCGACACCAGCGGTCAGCGGTCATTGGAATGCGAATCGTAGAATGAAATATTCTCTACAGCAAACAACTAAAGCTAACAGGTAGAGGGAGGCACAGTGTTGATTCCCTGCCGCTGAAGCTCTGCGATTACTCCCTCCATAGACGGCGGCTTCAGTCCCAGGGGCGGGGGAGTCCAAGGGTTAGCAAGCGCTTCTCCGATGGCTGCATCAAGAACCTCCTTCGATAAATGCGTCTCCGGTGGTTTACTGCACGCAGCGACGCCCGCAGCTCGTCCTAATTCACTGTCATATGATTGGTTACAAAGATACATGGTAGCTGCAAGAACATCTTCACCGTAGTAGCTCTCGTCAGGAAATCCTGGAGCCATCATTGGAGAGCCAGCATGCGTAGTGCCTAACGAAACTCGCATGGGATGGGGATAACAAGCGCGAGCTGAATACGCATCATAATTGGTGGCAGGATGCTGCCAGTAAGAGCCATCGGGGGCTTGCCAATACGATGGGGTCGCCACTGCAGGTTGCTGCCACATGTGTACACTTGAATGATCTACTGTAGGATACCCCCACACCTTAAGAGGCGTCGACACCGGGGTGTGCTGCGTCTGAAGCTGTGGTTGCATTGCCATGACCATGGATGGGCGAGGTTGTATGTGAGGGGTGTGTAAGGGTACAAGATAAGGAAGGCCATCGCGCCGTGAACTTCGAGACCAGGGCATCTGGGTGTACGCTCGACGATGAGTCCAGGATGCTGCCTCGGCTTCCCTGGCTGCAAGATGGCGACGATGCGAGCGATACTTCTGCAAATGACTGGCGATATTGTGCCGGGTGAGACATTGTACTCCCATCAGTTCTAGTATGCGCGAGGGAAAAGCTTTCTCCACTCCAAGCTGTTCCACCGCGTGGACAAAGCGCCGATGAAGCTCCGGCGTCCAATCGACCTTCGCCTTCTTCTTCCCCGGTGCGGCACTTTTACATGATTTCGGACTTTGTTGATTTTCCTTCCTATCGACACTGCTACATTCACCACTATCGGAGGCCGAAACAACAACGCCCGTCGCCTTTGCCGCTTTCGCCAACAGCAGCGCCTCCTCCTCCCCAACCTCGTTCCCAGGAACCGAATCCAGCGTCTCCGACCCCTGCAACAATTCGCCGAGCTCCCCTAGCTCTAAATTCTCCGAATTCCTACTACCATCGAGGCTCATAGACTCTAACAACTCCACCTGCTCCCCGTCTCTACCTCCACCCTCTTCCCTGCTTATCCCCGCCTCACCACAGTCCGGCAACGTACCAAAATCCTCAAAACATTGTACGCCTACATCTCCACAATCAGCCTCCGTCACAAAATTCAAGCATCTAGCGAATTCACCATTTGCAGCAGCCGCTGTATCACTCGAGGGTGAGGCAGGGTGGAGCTCAGGCTTGCCAAACAGCGGCCTCCCTCCCTCCTCGTCCTCCTTTACAACCACAGCTTCAAACGAAGTCTCACTGGATTTCAAGCAAGGTGAAGAATCCGGCAAAGCATCGAGCACGCAATGCACAAGCAAGTTGTTGGTGTTGTTGTGGACTTCGACAAGAGGCTCGACTTCTATCCTCGCCATGTCCATCGCCATATCTCCATCGCCTAATCACACCACCACCACAATCTCACTCCTGCCCTTGCCTGCTCCACCCCCCCCCCTCTATGCTATCTATCCTCTCCCCTCACCCTCAGAAGCCATGGTGGCCTCTAAATCGACACAATGGATGGATGGATGAAACATAGACGAGCGCCTGCGTTCATCCACTGCACTGGCCTTCAGCAGACATCCTCTTTCCCCCCTTTAAATAGAGATCTACTACTTTACTGCATAAAGTGAACCCACCCTCCCCATAAAAGTAGCCTCCATCCTCTTTTTGAATCTCTCCACAACCTCGGTGATGACATCATGAATCATCCTGTTTTACTTTTAAGTATAATATTAATAAATAAAACGTAATTTTGCTGAGGATTCTACTCACCATTCTCTAATTGTTTTTTTTATTCATTCTCCACTGATGGATCCCTGTCACGTTGATGCAGAATCACTGTCACTTTATATGTTTTCCTGACATGTCTTTTAAGTAGCATTTGTTACCGAAATGAGTATGATGAATTTGTAGGTTTCGGAAAACGAAACTATGATTCCTCACTACTGGTTTCGAAAACTTCTTTTCCTCCTTCTGGGGAGTGTAAAAATGTGTGATTTGGATCGACATATCCTATCGCGTGGATGCGATTCGGACTTGGACATGGACGCCGTGCCCTGGATAGAGAGGGAGCAAAACAAAAAAAAAACGAATAAAAAAAAAAAAAAAAAAGACTTCACAACAACTTCTACACCGGAGGCATCGTTTTCTACGCATCTGTTTTCTCTTCAGTTAGCGTGATTTTCAGATTTTACACGACAAAGCAAGTGATCGTTTTCCAGCCTTTTGGTTCACTTGTGGGTAATCGACTGAGGCATCCCGCGCAGATCGTGGGGCGGTGACGACCGATAGAGAGAGTCTTTTGTGTGTTAAAGATTATCTTTCCACAGGTTGGTGGGAGTGTTATTCCCAGTTGCCGTTTCAGTTTTTTTTTGTTTTTGTTTTCACGGAATGCACGAATCTGTCAGGACACTCTTCAGTTTCATCGTTTCATCGTTTCATCTCGATGTCATATTATAGGCACCGTTTCAGTCAGTGTTCCTTCAGACCAGAGTGAGTTATCCTAAACAGTGCTCCTGTCAAGGATATTGTGGACCACAATGCTTGAGAGGGTGCAGGGAGAATTTGAATGGTCCACCACTACGGGACCTGCAAAGCCTATAATGATCAGGACACCGAAGAATCAGTGAAAAGAAATGGAAGCTGTAAAGCAACGAACTGAGGGTATAACACCACCACCAACTTGGCGTTCTGGCGGGAGGGAGGATTTGTTTTGTTTAGTTGCGAATTACAATGATTGAGAGTCAGGAATATCTAGCTAACACTGGTAGTTGGCTGTAGGGAAAGGAGCGCTGAGAGTGGAGCAATTTCGGAGCTTCTAGACAGCTTATTGATATGTGCTGCATAAGTCTGCGACAAAGCTTGTGCAAATTCAACACATGTAAAGCTCGCTAATGACACACCATGGGATGGATTAATTATGCTACGGTCTTCGGAGAACCATGTAGGATGCTGCAGTACGTCTCAGTCTGCGTTGGATGCGCTTCGGCTCTGGATGGTTTCACAACAGGACAAAAGTGTAGTAAGAGGTCACTACATTTGTCATTATTTGTCATTATTTGGAGGGTATCAGTAAAGGCAGGACGACCTTCATTCGGCGCTTCTGTGAAGCGATGTGATATCAAGAGAATATTATCGGATCAGACATAATGACCCGGGTACATGCCAGTGTTGTGACGAATATTCCTGAGCTGTATGCAATTGGCCACAAGGAGTCAGAATCCGTAGTCTAAAAGTCCAGAAGTTCGCACGCCCACTGAGACGCATTAGCTAGTTTTCGATATCCCAAAACATACTTGAATTTCGGTTATCCACCCAACTCAGAGAATTGAGAATAGTACCGGCAGCAATGTGCGAGGATAACAGATCCTTGATCTCACATAGACAAAACTTCCTCGTGTATTATGATTTAAATAGATCATTAGAATTGATCAGGAAACGCTCATGTAAGTACGAATCATTAACAGAACAAGTCATTGGGCACCAGCAGGGTCAACTACGATAGAAAGATAGGTCCTTCACGAAGGATGACAAAAAGATTAAGTTCGTACCCATTGGCGAAGAAACAACATGATGAAAGTATACTCGTATAAGTATAAAAGGTTCCTCAACAACAGTGGCCAGATTCCCACAAAAGACTCTGGTCTACACATTCCTAAGAGGATTTAAGCACTGCTATCAGGCTTGGCAACTGAAGCACGAGAAGCGCGCTTCTTTGCTAAACTCTCACTTCGGTGCTCTCTCTGTTCCTTAAGGCGAAGTGCCAACAGCTTCTGGTACTCAGCGGCTTCGGCCTTGGATTTGGCAACTCGTTCTTTCTTGATAGCGATTCTGCGGCGCTTCCTCTGCAACGTAAGAGGTGTCACTAGTCTCTGAATTTTGGGAGCTTTGCTGCGTTTCTTTCCTGAAAAACCAACGAAACAGACAACAGATGTCAGTCTAAAAAGATCCACGAAAACCCTAATGCTATTTCACCAAAATGACAACAGGCGAAGGAAAGGGTATTAATCAAATACCGGTCGCTGACACAAATGAGCGGCGGTAAGTGTTCACATATTTCCGCACGTCATCCTCCTTGGTGAGGTTAAAGAGCTTCCGAATCTTGGTAGCCCTCTTGGGACCCCTCATTCTTGGCTTCTCAATGTCGGTAAGCCCGGGAAGGTCATTATCGCCTGTAGCCATGAAGAGAAAGTACGATCGATTACAAACATGCAATGCCAGAAACGACGTCACAGATTCTGATGGTCCATATCTTCATCTTCAGTGATATTTAAATACTGATCACCGTGATTTGAGATTCATTCAAGCCAAGAGGTTGCGAACGTAAGACTTGACCGCTTACATCTCTTGCTAGATTGATTCAGAAATCACAAATGCTCCGGACAACAACAGGTTGAAAGCACATGTCTGCGATTGCTTGTGCCCTATTATCAATCGCAGAGTACACTCTCCTCTGAGACAGGTTGTTTCAGTGTCAAACTGGACTTGCAAATACTCCGAACACGAGGAGTAACATCTAAATCTAATTGTACTCATTCACTAATCAAGACAAATTAAAAATCCTTTCAATAAAAAAACCAATGTGGTCTTGAAAAAAATCAGAGAAAATATGATGAGCTATCATTAATAAAGGTAAATCAGAAAATGCGGGGAAATCTTACCTTGCTTGACAATGACAAGATTCAGTACTGACAGATCGGGACTAACGATGCAGCCTCTCACGGACTTGCGTCTGCGTTCTCCATTGCGTCGTCCGTATCCTCGGAAGCATGAAACACCTTCAGAAGAACAAAAATTTCATTACTTTACTGCATTATAGTTGCAACCGAAAATCAAGACGCGCCTTGTAAGTAGGTGTGCATAGTGACGTTCTGTTACATCCATCGACAATTATTCCCAGCACTAGCATGACAAGAGGAAGCGGCAGGTGGTTAACGTTGTACCTCGGTGCATCAGCAGTTGCACACGTCCCTGGGTCAAGACACCCTGCTTCATGGGGAAACCCTGCTTGTCACATCCTCCCATAATCTTGAAAACGTATCCCTTGAACTCATCACCAAGCTGGTCACCACTGACCTCTTGAGCAAGACGCTTGTCATAAAATTGACGACTACAATTGCAAGTGCAGGATATTAGACTCAAAGTCTCCTCACTAAACCCTAATAACTTTACCTCCCTACATTTATAACATTGAAAGGTAGCGCCATAGAGATCTAAGAAAACAAGATTCGAATCCGCATGAGGGCACTAACAACTAATCAAATCGAGAATACAGAAATCCTCGAATAAAATCAGCGCAACAATACTCACAGCTTGGCATCGTCATCGATCTCGACTTTCTTCTGACACCCCGTAGTGGGGTTAGCGATATTTAGCTGCGCATAGTAGCAGGACAAGGTCAGTGACTCGTAACGTTCACTCTGCTACTAGCTTAACAAACGCCCTAACCATACGTAGAAATGGAACCAACCAAAGATCACTAAAGCATTGCGGGGCGCTGCTGACCTTCATGACTAGAGCTGGTTGCCTTCACGACCAAGAGGACGCGATGGCGAAATCGGCTTCGGGGGAGACGAAGAGTGGCTCCGTGCAAAGACCTGGGACGGGGGCACGCCGCCTCTCTTCAAGCATCACCCTGATTAGGGTTTCCTCCTTCACGCCGTTCCCTCTAGACCCTTTCCACTCAGCCTCGTCGCCAAGTCCACGCTCCGCCTTCATACGTCCAAATCTTCCTCTTTGCAAGATTCTAATCGTAAAATGAACCCAGTACGCTTGAATACCCAAAAGATTTTCTGAGGAAAAAAATTACAATTTCAACAAGCAATATTTTTCATTTTAGTGGAACAGTATTCTTAAAATAGGTTGAATCTGTGAAGTTGTTTACAGGAAAACTATTATACTTGATGTTAGTAGGGTATTTAATGAAATTCTGCTGTGACTTGTAATTTTTGTACTCCTTGTGTGTTGAAACGTATATATATCTATATATATCTATATATATATATGTTATAGTAAATGTTTTTTTTAACTTTATATTAAACTTACTCTGAAATGAATCGGCTAATAACGCAATGAAACGTAAAAATATGACTGTAACATCACATCAATTTTAAAGCTGTTAGATACATCATGTTGATACTTCTGCATGTTAATATTTTTAAATGAAAGTAAAAATAATTGATATCATTAATTGCATAATTCTATAATCCGCTCTTTCGATGGAACATGAATTATAATACCACGTTTTTAATTCAAGTTCTGCAGACTTTGACTATGACAACGCACTATTGTTAAATAAACATTGTGTGTGATTAACATGTAATTGACCAAGTGCATGTAAAAACATTTAATATATATACTTATTTTTTCAAAAAAAAAGTTAGTTTGTACTACTTATTTTATATTCAGATTCAAATTTGCATTTGGATTTGTTTCGGTCTCATACAACAATATATTTTTCAAGCATGTGTAGGTGTAACACAATTCAGATGCATATAAAAAATATGTAATATAATTTGTTAATTACATCCATGTTGCCTCCAGATATTCATTTGTGGAGTGATGCTTAATACATGAAGTTTTTCACAGTGTGAGAATAGAGAGCCAGATATTATATGTATTTGAATATGAATATTAAAAAAAACCCAAATCTATTTTCAGGCACACAGATTATTTGTCATGCATAGTACTCACATTAATGATTTTGGGTCATTTTAGGGTTTACGGAGATTCACCCATTTACGATATTAGGTTAAATATATTGCCATGTTTAAAAAAACCATTATTTATAAAATACTCGTAGTAAATTTATGCTAATTCCGTTATACGATTTATGGATTATTGTCACTGTTTAAAATAAGAAGAATTATCTCCATCATTAACAAATATTGAGTTACAGTTCCAGGTTATTTAATTATTTGTTTGTTTGAATGTTTATTTTCATGTATTTTAATAAGCTTCGAGTGCCATTAGTTGGAAAACACTTTCAAGAAAACAATAGTTCAGTAATAAACCAAGCGTACTTGTGTATAAACCTACATGTACAAATACACATTTACATACAGTTACCATAATGTTTTCATCATGATATTTCCAATTATGACACAAAAATCCCATTTTATTTTATTTTTTTAAAACTAGTTTAACCTAGAAGTAAAAATCCACCCCTAGTCCATAACCCCAATGATTTTAGAATCCCATTGTTTGAAAGCGTAAATGATTGTTCCACAATAAATTTAAAGTAAGAGTGGCCGAGGTTACCGCAAACAAATCCTTGTGCATTTGAAGAGGCGAACGCGTTCAAATTTAGAAGGAACGACGTTCCCCTGAGGCAGGGAGGAAGGCACCCGAGCCGAAGAGGCCCGGTGCAGAGCTAGGTGCGGTTCCAGGTTCGGTGCTTCGAAGCCCATGCCTGACAGGAGGGCGAGGAGGGAGGTCGTACCGAGGGTGGGGGTCGCAACGGGGGCGGGGGGGTGGATGCCAGTGGCGCTATCGGGCCTGAGCCAGATCCTGAATCCAAAGGTGGGGAGGGGGTGGGGTTGCTTTGTGCGAGCAACAATTTGCGTGGGTATGGTGGAGGCCGAGATCGTAAAGGTAAGTTCTCCTCTGGGTTTGATTAAGGCCAATACAACTGTAGCCTCGCAGCTCTGTGTCGTGGTTGGTCGGAACTGTCTCCTTGCGATAATGTAGCGAGTGTCCGGCTCTGGCTACTCCTGGAGTTTTGCGAGCCTAGCAGCAACTGGATCATCAATCAGTCCCAGATGCGTCTGTGAACTAGCGGGCTAGATTTCCCATCCGCAATGGTACACAGTATAGGAGTGGAAAGGTGCTTGAAACGTCGTTTGTTGGCACGGTGGTGATGGTGTTGAAAAGGGTAGGGGAGGTGGCTTGCCGGGATGGTTGGATGGCAGGATTTGTAGGTAGCGGGATGTAGATTTCAGGACAGGGCTGGTGTTGGTGAATAGGAGGGTGAGGTGTGACTTACGATGGTGCAGACCACATCGAACTCGTCGTCCGCTGTAGGACCGAGGGTGGGAGGGCAGCTGTTGCACGATTTGGAAGCCCTAAACCAGGCGTTGTATCAAGCAGGGCAGAGTAAAGGCGATGGCAGAGTGTTGGCGAGGAGAGAGACGATGCCAGCTTGGGTAGAAGTTGAACATGGCGCAGAGGTCGAAGCTGGTGATTCTCTTGGAAGTTTGTTGAGGGGATCGCATCCGAAACCTCCGGTGGCCACCAAGGGTGCTGGAGGTTCTTTATTGGACTCAGGGAAGATGACAGAGATTGGGAAAGATAGGAATGAAAATCCGAAGGGACTGCAGGGGTGGCATTCGCAAGGGTTTGAGAAAAACTATCCCGACATGAGCAGTGTTTCTGAATACAGGGACGGTAATGCTGATTTCAGACAGAAGCTGGGAGCTCCCGCCGACAAGAAGAAAGGGGTTTGGGGCTGGAAGCCGTTTCAAGCGTTCGCGCATGTGGGGCAGAAGAAGTATAATTGCCTGTTCACGGTCCATGTGCATGGGATTGAGGGATTGCCTATCTCAATGAACGGTCTTCGTCTGGGAGTTCATTTTGCAAAGAAAGATGACGCCGGTGTCCAGACTATGCCCGCTAGGGTTTTTAAAGGGCATGCCGAATTCCAAGAGACTCTTAATACGCGGTGCACCCTACATGGGGCCAAGAATGGTGCGAAGGGTATGAAGTGGGAGACTAAACAGTTCATACTCTCAGTGATCGCTCTTGATGTTGATGAGCTGGTACTTGGTAGACATAAATTGGAGCTTACTAGATTGTTACCAGAGACGATTGAGGATGACGATGATAAGCAGGATTCCTGGACGACGAGTTTCAAACTCTCAGGAAAGGCGCAAGGTGCCACTCTTGTCGTCACTTTTGGCTGCGAGATCCAGGGCAAGGATTCGCAGAATCTAAGTGCAACATCAAGCGCAAGATTTGGAGAATCGCCAGTTTTACGTGCTACGCGATCGTTCAATAGTTTGCCCAATTCCGGTCATGCAACTCCATCCCGATATGCGTTGGAGCCCCATCACTCTCCATCAACGTCAGAGCTCTCAGCAGAACATAATGGTATGGAGCGCTTGAGTCTTGATGATCAGGACATTGCTTACGGTATTGTTAAAGGGGATATCTACTCCGATTCTCGAGCCGACAATCCTGAGGTCGCAAACATATATGCATACAAGGAGCCGAATGACAACCTTCAGGCCGGTAGAAAGAAAGAAGAGGAGGAAGAAGAAGACGAACTTGAATTTTCAATTGTCGATAAAGGAGTAGAAATAGGCGTAATATTAGACAATGTCTCTGCCCGAAGTTATGATGCATTCGAAGAAGAGGATATGCGAGGTTCTGAGGAGAAACATGGTGCAGAAGGTGTCAATATCTCATCTCACGACGAACTGTACCATGATGACCCATATCAAAATACAGGGGACCAGTACGAAGAAAATGAAGGTATTCAACTCACATATAAGTGGTTAAGTGTTTCATATTTTTGTAGGGGACAAAGCAAATTAGACCTATATTTGCTGTAGGGTAATTGCCAACATGTTGCAAACTATCTACTACTATCTTAACTGCCACGACCCGTTCCACTTAATGAACGTATATGCCAGCAACGAGATACTCATTTTTACCAATTCTATAGTCAGCTTACATGTTCGGGCCTAGTTGATGGTTGGTGGTTGAAAAGTGTATTCTTATCTGCGATCGATGTCTTACAGTCGTGTAAATTTCTTTTTACAGATGCGAAGGAGGCTTCACCTAGTGGTGCAGAAGTGGATTTATTTCAGGCAGAGCAGCTTGACAAACAGATCACTGAGTACGAAGATGTTGATACTGTCGAGCATACGTCGAAATCGATTGACGAGGAACAAGAAATGGAAGAGCTTCTGGCTGCTTTCGTTGAAAAAACGCGTGAATCAGATGCAGAGGGCACTCTTACTCCAGATTATATGGCGGAGCAGGAACTGCTCTCAATGCTTCCTGCTGGGGATGAGTTGGACTGGGAGGCTGCTAAGAGAACACCCCAAAATAAGATGCTCGAGTCAGACGACGAATTCGACCCTGTTGCGGGTGAATTTCTCAGCCTTTTAGCAAGTGAAACACGACCATCTCCAGTAGCTCGTTCTGACAGTGAACCAGACTCTCCCCGTGCTCTGTTGCTGAAGCAGTTTGAGAAGGAGGCCTTGATCGAAAGTGGTTTAGGGTTGAGTTTGAAAATGCCAGAATTACCATCTTCTGCTCAACAATCTGTGGTTCCAGATTTTTACCTGGATGGTATCCCTAGTGATGGTATTACTGATGCTCAAGCTACTGATGACTCTCTTCATACGCATCAACATGTTACATCTGAGGACCTCAACAATTTAGGTGCGTCTGCCCGATTTGAACCTATGCGACTGTTCACTTGATAACATGTGGGGTATTAAGCTTCGTTGTTGCTCATTTTTAGGTTTTTGTAAGTTTTGTCGGATTTTTGTATCTCTCTCGGATTCTTGTTGTGTTATTTAGTGAATCCTGTCTGATGAAATCAATGTGTTGATCGTATCAGCTTCTAAATCAGCTCATTTGACGTTTCTGTCTCGATTAATTCATCGATTTAGTCACAAAAGTTGATGGCTTGCTTTGCTCATCGGTAGCTTTCATGTTAATGATTAGTGAGGCTCTGGTCATGTGCAGGTTGGGGCAGTGACGAAGACGTCGAATTGGCTTCTATTATGGAAGCTGCTGAATCAGAGCTCCAAAAGGCGACGCAATCAATGCGCAGCAAAAATAGAGCCAAAATGTTAGAAGACGCAGAGACAGAGGCTCTAATGCAAGAGTGGGGCTTAAACAAAAAAGTTTTTGAGGCATCTCCTAGGTCCTCGCATGCAGATGACACTGGCAGTCCCTATGCCATGGTTTCATGTGACCCACCACCTCTGGGGTTTGGTCTTGGTTCGGAGGTCCCAACGCGAGACGGGGGTTCTTTGAGATCTATGAACCCCGCTAATTTTCAGGGTGCAAGTAATAGCAAGCTAGTTATGCAGGTGTCCAAACCTGTTGTAGTGCCTATGGATGCGGGAGCCGGCTCCTTGGCTATCTTGCAACGGATGGCAGCTGCAGGTATGGATGGAATGACAGATCAGGCCATGTTGACAATGCCCTTGGATGATATTACAGGCAAGAGTGTGGAGCAAATTGCAAGTGAGGGGTTTGCTGCCTTCAAAGGAAGTCGACAGGGGCAAGAACAAATTGGGTTAGTTTTCTTTATTCTGCATTCCACCGCCTCGTATCACTATCTTTTGTTTTAGCAGGATAAGTTGAGCCCATACAGATCTGCCAGTTGAAAGTTGGTTAATTATATATATGTCGACTACTTCATTGCTCACTTCGGAGTTGTTGAAGGAGGTCGCGAAGAGTCAGATGCTGTATCATCGTTGAATGCAGTTAATTTGAATTTCGTAAATATTGCGCACATTGGCGTCACATTGCTTCTCAGTTTTTCAATTGGCAATATGCAGGTATGCGGCTTCAGAGGGTGGGCATGGACAACTCAGTCTGGAGTATACTCAAGGTAATTACGGTGCAATGACTGCACATGCAGGATCAAGTTTGGCAAAGACATCTGGAGGTCGCTCGAGTTTTGGGGCCTTGGCTACTCAATCAGGGTCTCGCAAAAGTAATCCCGCTCTCGGTGATGATACGTTCATGTCATTGGAAGATTTAGCGCCCATGGCAATGCAAAAGATAGAAGCTTTAGCCCTGGACGGGTTGAAGATTCAATCAGACATGGCTGAGGAGGAAGCACCATATGCGGTGGAACCCCTTTCGTGGCAGGAAAGGCCTGCAATAGAAGGTGGCTCTAGCAGAAGACAGAGAGGTGGAAACTCTTTTGACGATCCCTCAAGTATGAGGCTCTTGGAAGGTGGGAGTGCAGATAGTTCTGGAATGTTGGACGACGACTTTTCGATGGCCATATCGTTGGATGAGTGGATGAGGCTGGACGCTGGTGTGGTTGACGAGGATGATATTAATGGCAATGCTATGGCATTAGTGGCTACTCACCGTGCTACTCATGGGGATATTGTACCTAGCAAAATGAAAAGCAGTAAGCAAGGGGGTAAGCAGAAAGAAGATGGGTCAAATGAGATCGGTGGGCTTATGGGTGATACCATCACTCTAGCTATGCTAGTGCAACTTCGGGATCCTCTCCGGAATTTTGAGCCTGTCGGAGCTCCTATGATGGCTCTTGTCCAAGCTGAAAGAGTTGTAGTTCCTCCAATGCCCAAACTGAGATTAGGTAGACGGATTTCCCTGATTGGGAACAATGAAGGATACGACGATGAGGATAGCCGTTCACGCCAGCCGCAGTTCAAGATTAGAGAGGTAACTTTATCAGGTGTGAAAGCCAGTGATGAGTCCGCTAGTGACAAAAAGCAACAAACTTCGGCATTACAAATAGGATGGGGCACCCCAAAACAACAGCAATCAGGTTCTCGCTGGCTTGCTGCAAGTGGAATGGCCAAGAATTCTAAGCAGCAGTCTTTCGCGAAACCGAAAGCCGGTATGCCAAAGAGCAACGCCCCCAATGTCAACGTACCTAACAACGCCCTAGCTTTTCCAGTTACTAGCAAAAGCTCCACCACTTCCACCACTTCCACTAAAAGCGACTCTTTGTGGAGTATTTCTGCAAAGATTGGTTCCAAATGGGGAGCACCGACTGCTCAAAAAGTTCGAAACCCAGATGTTGCCATGCCGAAGTTTGGTTGGTTTGGTAAGAAAAAATAGGGTGTGCTTGTCAGTACAACTTCTGATGCTTTCTTAAGTTTCTATCGTACTTAGTGTTGTCTCAGGAGACCCTTGCGTGTGCAGAGTGTGCTGTACTAATCATGACCTCAGTGAGGCAGTTTGTACAAGTTAGCAATGAACCAGAGGTTTCACACCAGGTGCCATTGCTTAGTGTCGTGGTTGCTTAATGCAGTCTACCATCTTTGTATGTTATCTTCTGGGAGTAGCAATTACTAGATCTGTTGACGTTTTTCTCTCAAGACGTGGCTTTAATTTTTTTTCTTCTTTCTTTTCCCTTTATTAAACAATCATTAGTCTCAGAGCTATATTGGTTTTGACTGCTAGTCCAAGAGGAAAAGCTTAAGGACCGAAAGAGTACGGGTTGTGTTTTTATTTTTTAAAAGTTAATGTCTTAGAAGAAAGGCTTCCTGTAATATTAAGTTCTGCCTTGGCTATGCTCTTTCTTCACTAATTCAGATATCAGTAAATGCTACGGAGGATACTAAGAGTTGACAGGTTTGAAGTTTTATGGACATATGGGCAACCAGTGCGATGTTTACTCCATATCATTTGAAAAATACTATATTATATTCTTATAGACTTTTGCGTGGAAATCCGTTTGTGTAAATTACGAATGCTATCATACTTTCATTAATTTTTTCAACTCTGTGACACATCAAGATATGCTTTTTTGTTAAACTTAAAATTTTGTTGAAATTCTAAAAAAGTATTTTAAAATTTTGTTTACTCATTATCTTTTGTTTCTGAAAAATCGATTTATATCAAGACGATGTTTTTCACATTTATTGCTATGTTTTCATGAAACTTTGAATGCAACGCTTCTTGCAAATGTGACATTGTACAGAACTTTCTTCTCAGAAGCCATTGAAATTCTACAATCCCACATACTACTAGGCTTACCTTGCCATGTAGTTTTTATTCAAAATTGGGGTCATTATCTTAGGTCAAATTTACCTTTGGATTAGAGAACAGTTTCTGGCCATTGCAGCCGAATTGTTGTATGAACGAATACACAGAATTTATTCTTCATATTTATTTTGAACATTTGCAGGTGTGCATGTATTGTCTTCATGACTATGAGAATTACAAACACAGATTAAGACCATTTTAAAGAAATTATTCATTTTTTGTTCAAATCAATTCCACAGTTTGCACTAGTTTATACAACTTGCATTTTTATTTTGTAATTTTATAATTAAATAACACAAATTAAAAAATTGGAAGTTTGAAGACACACTGTTTTGCATACAATTTTACATTTTGTAACAACACACATAAATTCAGTTTACACAATGGACAAAAAATAGTTAGCCTCACCTTCATAAAGTCTTAGTTGATGAAGAAATTGTCAATGAATTGATTTTATGTCTTTGATAATTTTTTGAGCTACATAATAATAAATTAATAAGATCTTTTATAATTTATTTTTTAACTTCTTACAAAAAAATCTTAATTTGGCATATATATATATTATATATGTATAAGTGTACTTTTATAAATGCAACATATATAAAAACACCATGTATATGATGCAAGATTTTCTATTATTCTAATTTTCTTTTAAATATCATTAAATTAAATAATACTTGTAATATATAAATTATATTTATTTGTAGCATTTACTTCCACTAAAATAAAACTTATGGTTGAATCTAAATATATAATATGATTTTAGTTATCTTTATAACAAGACAATTTGCTACTTTATTTTGTTGTAAATTATAAAATATCTAAGTTTGATTTCTCATGTGATTTTTTTAAAAATAAATATCATAGTCTTTAGGCATGTATTTACGGCGATTATGATTTGTAAGAACCTAAATATGACTATATAATTCTTTATAAATGTCTTAAACTTCAAAAATATTTAAAACATTTATTCTTGATTTTATACATGTATACTTGTACTTTCTTTTAAAATATATAAATAATAGATTTTTTTGCAAGGCATCTACTTTTGCTTGTTGCATGCCAAGATCTCTTGAAATAATCATATGGCTCAAGTATTTAATGATAAATTTGATTTTTGTAATTTTCATCAATATCTTCAAATACTAACATCAATAGGTCGTCAATAAGTAATGATAACTGCTAATAACTAGATCCTAAGTCGATAATGCTAAATACTCCCAAGAATCCTATTGCATCAAATAATTCTATTGACATTAGTATTAGATACCAATTAGATTTAGTCTTACAATTAATTGGGTGGTAGTCTCTATACATTTGCTTCTCTATCCCATTGCCAAAAACATCTTTTTCAAAGGTATAACCATAGTACAAGTATACTTGCTATTGAAAAGTACAATCAAGCTTTGAGCCAATAACTCTTGACAACAAGTCTAGATGTTATCTTTCTTTGAGATATTAAGTTTGTAAGGTCTCCAAAAGATTGGGTGATTATCTTTCAATTGGAGATGAATATGTTTGCCTCTATAGCCTTCAAAGTCTTTGAGACCAAAGGAAAATAAATTGCTATACAAGCAAATAAAAGTTTATATCTTTTTTTCTTTGACATTAGTAAAATGTGGAATTAACTCCCATAGTCAATCATTATGCTTTATAGTCTTTGTCTTCACCAATGGAATACTATTGCATGTCGGCAAGGCCTTTAACTGCTGATTTGTAGAAGATAAAATTCTTATGCCTCCAACAACTTTATTTGTAATCAAATGAAGAGCTTGATTGTTGAAGATCAGCAAGTATTTGCTTAGTTACAACCACATAGAGATTAATCATAGTATGTTGCTAATAGTAAAAAGGCAGCAAAGAGTTAAAGTAAGTTATTGTGGTGGCATCAAAGGTTTAGTTGGATGAGGTAGAAATGGATGTAATATCAAAAGGATGGAAGTTGCCTCGTTGGTGAGCAAACCACCACCTATAAGTAAAGAGTGTTGGAAGTAAAAATCATCTTTCTCCACACTTCTCTTAGACTACAATCGTTGTTGATGCTAAGTATTTGTAGCTTTTAGACTTCTTTTCTTCAATAAGTTATGAGCCCACTCACATTTGCTTGAGTATTTTTTGAAGTTCTTTGAAGTGGTTTTGTAAGTGTGGAATAGATCAAGTTGTTGTTGTTGATGTTAGGCTTTGGAAGAACCTAACTTTCAGATTCAGATCTAGATCTAGATCATGGTTTGCTCTTACTTTATGGTTAAGAGCATTTTGGTGTTAGTGTCTTGTTTTTCACCTATAGACAAAGTTTACATTGTGCTCTTGCTGAGATAGATCCTTTGTAATCTAACTTTACGATTTCATGTCCTAAAGTTGCTAATTGTGCTTAAAAGGCCTCTTATGGTGTATAGAGGTGATTTGTGAACATAAGAGAGATATTAGAGTGGCAAATCAGATTTGAGACACTTAGACAAGTCATTAGACTTGTGACAAGTTTTAGAAGTGAAGTTGAGAGAATTTTTGAGAGTTAAAACACTAGTTTGTTCACAAAGAAGGATTTTAAGTTTTTAAGGCAACAAAACCTTCTTGCTGATTTTTGAGAGCATTAGGACTTCTTCTTATAATAATTTTTGATACAACTCTTCCTTAGACATGGCTTCAAGTGAGGGTGAAGGATTGAGAGTTATTGAGAAGTTTAGAGGTGACAATTTCTACCATTGGAAGATAAAAATGGAGCTTTTGTTGGCGTCTTTGGATCTTTGGGATATTGTAGATGAAAGTGAAGAGGCTTCAAGCAAAGATGCTGATATGAAGGAGAAGAAGGAGTTCAAACATCGTGAAAAGAAGGCTTTTGGATTGATTGCAACCAATGTGGATAAAGCCAACTTCTCCCACATTATCTCTTGTAAAGGACCAACAAAAGTATGGAAGACTCTTTGCAACATCTATGAGAGCAAAAACTTATCCAACATCATCTAAACAAGGAAGAAGTTCTTCACTTGCAAGATGGAAGAAGGTGAAGACCTCATGGCTCATATCAATAAGGTAAAGGCTCTTGCAAACCAATTAGCAATTGTTGACAAGCCTTTAGAAGAAAGTGATATTGACATGACCTTGCTAATAAGCCTTCCCGAATCCTACAACTTCTTTATTGTGGCATTGGAGTCCATCAAGCTAAAAGAGCTTACAATGAATTATGTAACAGCAAGACTTACTCATGAAGTAACCAAGAAGAAAGAAAAGGAGCCTCAAAGTAAAGATTCAGTACTCTACTCACGTCAAGACAAGGGCAACTATTCAAATCAACAAGGTAATATCAAATCTTGCTTCATTTATAACAAAGTAGGCCATTTTGCTCGAAATTGCTACAAGGACAAAAAAATGAAGAAAGAGAATGCAAATAGTGTGCAAGATGAGTTTGGAGGACAAGATTATGCATTCAAGGCAACAAATGGGACCTCTATGGCTGCCATATCAAGATGGATTGTGGATTCAGGTTGTTCCAAGTATATGACACCTTGTAAGTATTCATTTGATACTTATGAGGCTATTCCAACATCAAATGTAGTATTGGCATATAGTGGTACATGTAAAGCCATTGAAATTGGCTCTATTATGGTGGAGGTGGCTGTGAATGGACAAACCAATAGGATCAGATTCAAAAATGTCCTTCATGTGGCTAAGATGAAGCAAAACCTACTTTCGGTGAGTAAACTTGTAATGGAAGGTTTTAAAGTTCAATTTGACATGAATGGATGTTTTGTAAGAACATTGAGTGGAGACAAGGTCTTCAAAGGCTTGAAAGAGGAAAATTTGTACTACCTCATTTGTAAGAAGGTGAATGGAGTGGGGGTAGCCATATTTGCTAAGTTTACATCAAACCAAATCAAGTTGAATATATGGCATTGTTGCCTTGGCCATTTGAATGTGAAGAGCATGAGAGAGCTCAAGACCATAGTAAGTGGCTTAGATCTTGGCAATACAAGCCATATTGCAAAACATCTTGCATGTGAAAGATGCATACAAGGCAAACAACAAAAGGCCTCATTTCCAAAGAGTGTAGCAATATATGCTACCAAGTTGCTGGAGATTGTCCATTCGGATGTATGTGGACCTGTGAAGAACACAAATATTAGAGGATCAAGGTATTTTCTTACTTTTATTGATGATTATTCAAAAAAGATTTGGATCTACATTCTTAAAGCCAAGAGTGAATGCTTTCGGAGGTTTAAGGAGTTTAAAGCACTTGTTGAAAAATAAAGTGAATGCAAGTTCAAGGTGTTGTGTACGGACAATGGAGGTGAGTACATGTCTAAGTAATTTGATGTTTATTTGAAGAATGAAAGAATTGCTAGACAAACCACAACTCCATACACTCCACAATAAAATGGTGTTGCTGAAAGGGCAAATCGAACCATTGTAGAGATGGTAAGGAGCATGTTTCATGCTCATAACCTTTGCTATGAGTTTTGGACAGAAGCTATGGTGAATGCAGTGTATGCAAGAAATAGGTGTTCAATAAGTGTTCTTGCATCAATGACACCACAAGAAGCTTGGAGTCGGAGACAACCTTACATTTTCCATATGAGGACCTTTGGTTGCATTGCATATGCAAAAATACCAGATTGTATGAGGTCCAAACTTGATGCAAAAGGTACAAAGTATGTGTTTCTTGGTTATTGT